CTATTTATTTCAAAAGCCCCTTCCCCTCCCCCTTTTCTGATGAAGGGCCTAGGCCCGAAACGTCAGCCTCTCTGCTCCTATGATGCTGCTTGGCCTGCTGTGTTCATCCAGCCCTGCACCTTGTTGACTTTAATGACAATTTTATTTTTCCCTTTCTATTTAATAGACACCCCTGATGTGGACATATACTACACAGTAAATGGCAGCAGACCTCAGTTCTTGAAGAAACCATGTTATGGGGAGAACTCAACCATAAAATACAGAGAACCATTCACATTGCAAGCAGGCAGAGGAACGATTAAAGCTTTTGCTGTTTCTAGGTAACGCTCCCAAATGCCTGAAAGAAAAATTAAAATCATTTGAAAGTATTTTACATTGGTCCAAAAGAACAAGCCAGAAAATCATACAGAGCAAAGCAGCTTATTTGGCTCGTTGTGCCTCTCCCAGCTTTATGCCAGAACTTTCCAACTAATCTGACTCCCCTACTCTTTCTCTATACCGTCTCATTCTTTCCCTTTTCAAGCATATATGCAAATTTGTTTTAAAAGTTACTATTCAATCAGCATTCGTCATCCTTTCAGGCAATGTATTTCAGATCTTAAAAATTTTCCATGTCAAAAAAAATCTCTGCTCACTTTGGTTCTTTTGCCAATAATCTGGAGTCTGTTTCCTTCGGTTACTGATCTTCCTGCCAGCAGAAAGTTTCTTCCTTTCTGTCAAATCAAAACGCTTAAAAATTTTGAACCTCGCTGTTAAATCTCCTTAATTGTCTCAAAGAAAAACAATCCCAGCTCTTAATCTCTTTATGAAACTGAAGTCCCCAGTTCCTTGTACCGTTTAGCAAATTTCCTCCCATCCTTTCCAAGGCTTTGACATCCTTTGTAAAACATGGTGCTTGTAATTGGATTCAGTACCCCAGTTGAGACATAACCAGTGATTTATAAAGGCTCTGTGTAACTTCCCTGCCTATGTGTTCTATGTTTCTGTTTATAAAATCCTGGATCCCATATGCATTTTTAACTGCTCCAACTTGGTCTGTCGCATTGAAATATTTGTTTGTAAACTCCCACTTCTACTCCTCTTAACCTGTATAATCGTGTGTTCTGTGTTCCTGCACAACTTCTAGAATTGTAAAATTTGCTTACAGATACATTCCTTCATTATTACTTCCAAGATGTATCATCTCTCATTTCTGCATTAAATTGCATCTGCCATCTCTCATACGGTCCAAGACGTCTGTCTGGCCTGAAGCTTGCTCTGCATACAACCTTACCGAGTTTTGTCATCTGCAAAATTTCTGTTGACTATTAGAGATGGTCGAGAGAGTGGTGTGGTGACCAAGGTATTTCTTGTGGAGTATGTACAGCCCAATGCAGTGGAGATATTGGAGGATGATGACAAAAATTTCTTACAAGATTATGAAAAGGAGCTTTCCAGACAGGTAAGAATATGTAGTAACATACGGTTGATTGGTCACATGTTCCAAGTGCTGGAGTGAGATTTGGGCGTTCCTGAACAGATTTGTAGAAATCTCTTTATATCCTGTATGATTCAAAGAATAATCCATGAGAGATTCTTCCAGTGTTGGCTTCCTGTTTGTCCACCTTGTTATTGGAATGGTGAAAGCCATAAAATTGCATGTTTACTAAATGTAATAGCTTGTAATATCAGCACATTGTAATAGGAAAAGGTGAGTTAGTCATTTATTTCCCTGTTCTTTTAGGTTGTGACTGATTTACATCTCAGCTTCATTAATCTGCCTCCTTTACTTTCTCTTCTTGTGCTTAATCGCTTCTGAGACAGACAAAGCACATGCATAGGTCTGTTTCCATAGATTAGTTTTCCTGCTACAGATCAGAGGCCTGTCACCACAGGCTGTAGCTTGAGGGCTGCCACTCTACACCATGCGTGGCTGACCAGGAGACTCTTCCACTCTTCTTGTTTTGCTGTAGGCTTATTGAAAGGATTTACAAATTGATAATCAACTTTTTTGACCACATTACAAATGCAGTGTCCATGGCCATCAAGTCCTGGGGTGGGACTCAAACCTGAGCTTCTGGTCCAATTTCCCAATTTCACTCCGAAGTAGTCAAGATCTAACTTCAAGAATTTAAAGGAGATAATTTATAAAATAGCTGATGAAAGTGTGCAGGTAGGGAAACACTGTTGTAACAATTTCGACAGCATTAATAATGAATCAGAGATAGTAGGAACTGCAGATGCTGGAGAATCCGAGACAACAAGGTGCAGGGCTGGATGAACACAGCAGGCCAAGCAGCATCACAGGAGCAGAGAGGCTGACGTTTCGGGCCTAGACCCTTCATCATGGATGTTTAAAAAGAAAGGCTCATTGAGGAAAGCATCCAATTTCTTTTCTTATCTGATTAAATCTTCCAGATTTAATTTAATCAGTTCTACCAAAACATAAACGCCTTGTAGACAACACTGATTTGATTTCTGTAATGTGTTTCTGAGCATAGCTGTTCAGTACTACCAATGAATAAGGAATACTGTGGGGAAAAGTAGACTGAACCTTATTTAGCCATTTTTCCACAATGTGATGAAATCTTGGCTGATCCACATTCCAACTCAATCTATCTGCTGTAGTTTGTCCATTAAAATGCTTGAATTACAAAAGTCTAATCATCTCAGACTTAAAAATTGAGCTATCATCTGCATTTTGTGGAAAAAAAATTCATATATCTATCATCCTTTTTAAGGTTATGGTCCATTGTTCTTAACTCCTTCAACAATTTTTTTCAAAAATGTTCCATTCTTCTCTAACAATTTATTTGAAAATTTCAAAAGCCTCAATCTAATCTCCCTTTAACCATCTATACTTTAATAAGTCGAAGTAATTTATGGGATCGTTGTTCAATTTGCTCATAGGAGCTGTGGTGATGATCTGTTGGATTTTCATTGCATTCCTACCAAGGCCAGTATGTACTTTCTAGGGTGTGGAGTCTTGAACTGCACTCAGCACTATAACTTGCACTTTATATAGCTGTAGCAAAATTTCCTCCCAATTAAATAATAGCTCTCCAGAACTAAAGATCAACACAAAGGTGCCAGCCGTGACTTAGTAATGTTCTGGTCAAAAGGTTGAAAGTTCAAATCCCACTGTAGGACTCCAGCACAAACATCAAGATTGACAATCCAGTGCAGTACATTTGGAGTGCTGTACTGTTAGATATCTTTGTATTTTGGGTAAAAAGTTCTGTGGGACTATTTTGAAGAAGAGCAGTAAAGAGTCCTGACCAATATTTATTCAATCAATTTCAGTTAAACAAATTATCTGGGCATTACCACATCCCTGTTTGTCGGAACTTGGTATACACAAATGGGCTGTCGTGTTTCTTACTTTGTGACATGACTGGTCTTAAAAACACACTTAAGACATTTATGGGTTGTTCTATGGTTGTGAAAAGCACAATATAAATATAGTCTTTGTTCATTTACGTTTTACTTTGTTGGCTTATTTCTTCTTACCTGCTACATTTCTGCAATATTAACACTATGCAAGCAGCAGAATACTAACATTTCAAGCAAGAGAGAATCTAACCTCCTCTCCTGACATTCACTGGCATTACTGTTGCTGAATTCCCCACCATTAATATCTAGTGCTCACCAATGATCTGAAACCTAACTGGACCAGCCACATGAATGTAATAGCTACAAGGTCAAGTCAGGGAATCGGAGTTTTGCTCGGAAACCTGAAAACATTCTACTATTTACAAGGCATGAATCAGGAGCATAATGAAATTCTCCATGGTTGCCTAGATGGGTAAAGCTCAACATTCCAACACCTCAATACTGACTGCGAAATAGCTGCCCATTTGACTGGCCCTCAGCCATTCTCTTTGCCGTTCACTGCATCGTGTAAGCAGTGTGTTACCACCTACAAAACCTACACCTATGGCAGCAATTTGCCAAGGGTTCTTGAACAATACCTTCTGACCCCTCCCTGTTCACAATTTTGAGCTTCTATCCACATTACTTAACAATATTGCTGAACTTGGTAATTGACAAACTTGGGTATATAGTGCTCTATTGTGTTATCTAACTCACTAATAAATATAGTGAATAGTTGAGGCTGTAGCACAGATCCTCATATGATACAACTGGGTACTTGCTTCCAACTAGAGTTTATAGCTATAAACCCCACTCTGTTCTCTACCGCCTAATTAACTTCCTAACTAGATCAAAAATTTTCCTTCACTTCCATGAGCTCTGGTTATATAATACAAGACAATACAGCACAGCACAGCACAGGAACAGGCCCTTCGGCCCACTTACCCTGTGCCAATTCCTATTCCTTATTTAGACCCGCTATGTATTGCCCATGTGCTGTATCTTTCCCTCTGTTGGCCTCACGTACATGTGTCAATCAAGATACGCCTTAAACATTGCTAAGGTGCCTGCTTCCACTATCTCCACTGGCAGTGCGTTCCAGGCACCTACCACCCTCTATGTGAAAAATTTCCCCCGAGCTTCTCCCCTAAACTTCCCCCCACATCACTTTGAACCTGTGCCTTCTTGTAGTTGACCTTTCCATGCTGGGAAAAAGCCTCTGACTCTCTCTGCCTCTCATAATTTTGTAGACCTCTTTCAGGTTGTCCCTCAGCCTCCATCTTTCCAGTAAAAACCATCTGAGTTTATCTAACCTCTCCTCATAACTAAAACCTTCCAGACCAGGCAACATCCTAGTAAACCTTCTCCAAACCCTGTCCAAAGCATCCATGTCCTTCAGGTAGTTTGATGACCAGAACTGCACGTAGTGCTCCAAATGTGGCCTAACTAAAGCTTTGCATAACTGTAACATAACTTGCCAACTTTTGAATTCAATGCTCCTGTGAAAGTTTATCAAATGATTTCTGAAAATCCATAGAACTATGTCCACAGAGTACTACACCTATCTACCAAAATAGATTCATCCTCAAAAACATCAATCGAGTTTGTTAGACATGAATATTCCTTTATAAATCTAATAATGAGGATAGAAATCCTGAAGACACTTACAAGCTCAGGCAGCATCTGTGGGGGAAAAAACAGAATGAACATTTCAATTTGATGGCCTTTTAACAGAGCTAGAAAAATTTAGAAAAATAACTGGTATTTAGTGAATGCAGATTTAGTGATTTACAAATCTCTGTAATCAGTTCAAATTTCTTTTAGTGATTGGCCACTTTGTCTTTAATTATATATATCCATCAATTTATCTACAATAATTGTTAGGCTAGCACGCCTATATCTGTTTTTTTATTCTCTCAATTTTCACAATGACTAGCTGGTATGCTTTTGATGTTGGCTGAAGGATCAAAATTCACCAGGCCACTGCTGGAACTCTCCTCCTGTTCTTTGAAAAAGTACCATAGAATTTCCACAGACAAATTTAACATCTCATCTGAAAAGCAGCACTTGGATAATAGTTAGGATTATCTACTCGAGTACTGGTGTAGTATTTGAACTGTTGCCTCTTTGACTCGCTACATCTATGCGGTCAACCAGTGATGGCAGTTAGATCATTAAATCTTTGCTGTTGACCGCAAGATACCTGGACATAGGCATCATTCCTGCACCTAATAGATCATCGTCAAGAACAAAAGATCAGAACTGGATAGAAACCAACTATGATGGTTCCCTTTATTTGAGTTGCAAGCAAACACTATTTGCTATAACAGTTAATGTCAGGACTGTACCCCAGATTGAATCACATCACAGTCTGCTAATTTCCCTGAAGTTAAGTTATTGATTTTATAAAGGTGTGAAATGTTGAAAAGCTTCTGCATAGGTACATTGCAACTTTACCATGAATATACATATAACAGGTGATCTTACTATTTTAGGACAATCTAGGGGGGTTGGGACCCCCCACAGCTACATTCACAACACCAAACAAGGAAAGCAAGCACTCCTACGAAGAGACAGTACAAAAAATTCCTGGTAAGCAATCTCAAATTTATGGTTTCATCTTGCAGCAGCTCCTCTATATTCTAGTATATATGAGACATCGAGACCCAGTACTATGGGAAGTGCTGCCATCGTTTGATTGTAACATAATTAAAAACAACAATAGATTGTACTTGAAAAGCCCCTTGAGTATAATAAAAGACATCATAGAAATACTATTTCATAGGAGCATTATACAAAAAAAATTTGACACTAAGCCAGACAAAGAGCTATGTGGGCACATGACCCAAGGCTTGGCAAAGAAGCAGATTTTAAGGATTATCTTAAATGAGGAAAGAAAGGTAGTGAGTGGAGGGATTTAGGAAGAGAATTCCAGAGCTTTGGGCCTTGGCAGCTGAAAACATGAAATGGTGGAGCAATGAAATTCAGGTTGCTGAAGAAATAGGGGATAGATAATGAGTGACCAGCCCAGAATGAATTTAACTAATTATTGAGAGCTATCAAAAGCATGGTTCAGGACTTCAGCAACCGATGAACTGAAGCAGAGGTAGAGTCAGGTAGTGTTACTGAGCTGGAAATAGGCAGTGATGGTGTCCTAATGCCATTGGAAGCTCACCCCAGGATCATTTATGATCACCAAAATGCTAATGTTCTGGTTCAACCTCAGACAGTTGCTAGGGAGAACAGTGGAGTCAGAGGTTATAACATAGAGTCTGTTGTAGGAACCAATGACAATGACCTCGTCTTAACAGTATTTAGTTGGAAGTTTAGTTTGGCTGCTCATCAGTTCTGGAGGTTCGACACGCAGTCTAGTGGTTTAAAGACAGCGAAGGGTTGACAGAAGTATTGCTGAGGTAGAACTGGGTATAGTCAGTGTACATGTGGAAATTGATGGTGTGCTTTCAAACACCAACACTAAGGTACTATTCCTCTTGTCAATTTCCTGCAATGCAGTCTTTTGAAAAAGAATAAAGGTTTCTCCCCAGTGCCCTGGCCAATACCTATCACCCAAGCAGCATCACTAAAAACAAATGGTCCTAAGTGTATGAGGACTTGGGTGCAGGAAAGCAGAATGCACATGTTAGCTCAGCAGAGGATGAAGTCACACAACAGATTAGCTGTTTTATGGCCCAGCTCCTGACAGCACTGGGCATCCTGCCAGAAACCCTGCGCGCAATATCAAACACTGTGGAAAAGTAGAGGTCACCTTTGTACAGATCTTTATGCAGACCTTGGAGCCTATCCTTTTCAATATGAAATGAGTCGTTATCTCTGTCAGCCCATCATGGTGTGTCATCTGTTGACCACTGTTACAGTTTCTGTTTCAGCACACCACTTTGATCAAAGGTCTAAGTGATACAGTAGAAACTCCTAATTCAGACCTCTTCCCACTGTTCAGACATTACCTGGGTGCCACAGTGGTCTATCAATCTGTTCTCCTTCAAATCAGAAAGCTTGGTGAAGTGCAGTCCAGTCAGAGTGGCAAAAACTCCATGGATGTGTATTAGCTGTTCTCCTAAGGGTAACCATTTTCATGCTGTCCTCCTGCTATTCCATTTTTATCCTTGCAATTTTATGTTAGCCAAACATTCCCCACAGCAGCACCCCAGCAGATGACATACCGTCTCAAATTAAGCTCATTAGGTCTACAGCTGCTTGAGATCATCCTTCAATCACAGGTTTTCTGCCACCTTCTAAATCAAAGACCAGCAGTCCTCAAAACCCATGCTTCAGGTTCTAGAGAAGCACCTCATGGAACCACTAGGATAGACAATGGGACAAGGAAACCAGATAATAAAGGAATTATGAGGTAGATTTTTTTCTTCATGTATTCAATATTTTATAAGTCAGTTTATAACTGGATTTGAATGTTCATTTTCTGATTTTTATTTTGTTCGTTGTCAGTGAAAATAATGTGAAGGTTAATGATACAAGAAAAGTGACGATTTTGGCAAGGAAAATCTTGAGATTTTCTTGAAGGATAATTTTCAGTTTTCAGCATTTTTTCCATATGCACTAACTCTCCCTCTTTTATTTTTTTCTTCTTTTTATATCCGGGAGTTCTCTCACACACAACTGAATGCGCTTTCTTTCTCGCCCCATCACCAAATCACCCATGGTTTTTTTTTCAACTAGAAATCACCACCAGTAAATCACCCATGTTTTCCAGTTGATTAATTCACATGCAAAACCTGTTAAGGGCAAAGCAAACCAACTAACTTTTTTTAAATTAGGTGATGCAGTCAATTGGTAACATTACCTTGTGTATTTTTTGATGTTTGAGGAGGTAGTAGTAGGATAGTAAGCCCGCTAGTTTTCTGTAATGGCCAGATTGTGCCATCTGCAGCATTCTGCCAGAAATTTTGATAACCATTTAGAGGTGTAATGCAGCAACCCTCCTGAGCAGTTAGGAAATAGAAGAAACATGACTTGAAGGTGATAATGATATATGTTCCTGTGGCAGTACGGCCCTTCATGTCACTTCCAGACCAGAGTCATGAATTTAGACTAGCCAGGGTGGTTCAAATAGAGCTGAATTAGAGGACTCCCACGTCACAAAAGAATTGCAACTGCTGCCAGAATAATGGCCATTCACCAGCTTCTTGTTGCACACAAACTGACTCCCTTTCATCTGCAGTGCTGCAGTCAATGACACTGCACCATGGAGTCGCCTGCAATTCACACAGTCTCCACCTGCTTACCTCTGGCAAGAGGGAATGAGATGTGTTTTTCTTCGTATAGAGAACTTCAGTCACTTCCTTTTTATAACAGTGCACTGCAAACTGTGAGATGCTGTTTATATTTGCTGCAGCCTGAGAGGAGCCTGGTGCATAGACATGAAGAAGACAGGCAATACAGTCTTTGACTTAGTTTGAGATTGAAGTTGTAGCTTCAGCACTTGTCAGAATTCACTTATGACCACTATGGTGAAGACACCTTATACACTGTTTCTTGCTGAAGTGAGGTGCAAGAATTGCTCTGTGAAGGCTCTTGGTCTGAAGGGAGCCCGCACTTTTCCATCTCCTTCTAACAGCCTGCCCTATGCTGTTCTGAGTGGCCTCTTTTCCTCCTTCCAATCATGTTCAATTTCAAGAGATAGCCCTATCCAGCCACCTTTTAGGTGAAAGCTGTTGTTTTCAACACAATATTTTGCATGACAGAAAACTACCTCAAAACCATCTGTGTTGTGTTTCAAATCTTAAAGTCTGGGATGGTGGAGAGGTGTGCTGCTTTTATTCTGTTTAATGTCATGTTCATCCAAGTGATATTAAGATAAGACAGGAATATGAGGTTCAATAATGGCTGTGGTCACTTCAAATCACCATTGCACATTGAATTGCATTGTCATCTCACTGCAGCTGGCAGTCATTTGGTATGCACACTAACCTCTTTGCCAAGATGGATTTGTCTGCATTTCCAATTAAATCTCAGATACCTTGTGTGACCACGCAGCTGCTAAACAATTGGTGGTGCGTAGCCCAGTTTATTTTCCAAAACCATTAGGAACATTGCAAAGAATGGTTTACCTTATCTTCCACTCAGTTGGAGAGAAATGTGGAAGATAAGGTAAATCTATCCTAACATGCATTAGGAAGGAGGGAAATTTCCTCCAAAGTAAACACAACTTGCTATACTGGCTACATTCTAGTTTTGACATGAGTTCCAAAGAATGTATTATTTTCTGCAATTTCTCGGTGGGCTATTATAAGCTAATCCCACCACCACATTAGGAAATCAATTGCACAACTTTGCTTCTACACCCCATTCATGTATACTCTCCATTCGAGTCATTGCAAAGTATTGGATTAGCTGCAATAATAGTGTTCCAACCAATCCCCTGTGTTTTCCACACAGTAATTTATGTTCAAAATATTTTTAACATATCTGCAGTAGACTTGAGACTAACCCATCTCACACAATGATAGAAATGGGGCTTCAGATTTTATTGAGAAAGCACAGAGTTTTTTCTAAAATATGAGTTTTGAATTAATTTTCTGTATCAATGGGAAGTGAATGCTCGTTTTCATTATAAATTTTTTATTAACAGAACTGAAAATAAATGATGATGGCCTGCATAAATCATTCAAAGGTCCACATTTCCTGAACAGTCGTTTTGGAACTTCAGTCCCTGGACAAGAGCTGACTTCAGCCCCGCTGTCCCACAGGTCCCAGGTGATTACACAGTAATGATATTGTGCCTTTAAGAGAGATTTGTTCTGTGCTGTTCCTCTTGCAGAGAGGTGTTGCCACAGTGGTGCCAGAATGTTTGCTTCAAAAGCAATGAGTAAATAGCTCCCTGAGTGTGTGTTTTTTTTAAAATTAGATTGAAAGGCATGAGTGGATGGAGTCAGGCTCACACAGACCCAGGGTTTTAGTTTTGCTTTCAGTTGGGGTTTAGAATTGGCTGTTGAAGCTGATAGATACAGCTCGCAATCTCTGCTACAGCAAAAAGCTTGAGTTCTCTCCCTGCTGCCCGATTTGTTTCTTTGTGTTCTTTCTCCCAGACTAGTAGGGCGATAGCACGTGGGGAAAGTTTGTTTTACTGAACTTGCCTTTGTCAAGGGTGTGTTTATGGGATGTTGCTATATTGGAACAGTTGATGATTAGTAGTTAAATAATAATTAATTAAGTATTTCAGCAGAGTTAAAGTTATGCCAGTTCTTTCTTTTATTGTTTGTAGTTTCACTGTTGAAAGAATGAACTGTGTTTTGCTTGACCCTAGTGGTGGACCAATGAATCACATATGGAACACAGTGCCTTACACTTGCCTTTAAATAAAAGGTTATGGTCTTGGCTATCTCCTTGACATTTTGAGGGGGTCTGGTTTGGTCCATAACAAGACTGTCAATTAATTTTGGATAACTACAAGTGGAAATAATTACTCGACTTTTATGTGCAAGTGAGGAATTCTGAGGAATGGTTTGCAGAGCAGTACTCTTACTAGATCCACCAATAGAAAGAAATTTTGAATGGCTTATTGATGACACCTATGTATGTTGCCCATTTTAAAGTCTTAAAATCACTGCTATTAATAATTCATTGTGTCATTTTAATGTTCTTCATTTAGGTCACTGCAGCATCTTCAATAAAGTCTTCCATTGTTGCCAGGTTAAAATTTCATGACTGCTGGGTGAAAATTCCAGGGCTACTTCCTATCAACACTGTCTTCTCAAGGACAACTAGGAATGAGGAATAATGGCAATGCCATATTCCAAGAATGACAATATATGTTGATGGTAAAAGATTGTGGCCCCAACATTTAAATGGAAACAAGTTGGGAATGGAGGTGGTGGGGGAGGAATTGTAGATGGAATCCAAAAGTATGTTTCCCACATAGCCATGTGAAATTAGCAGTAAGAATATTTTTAATCTTTTTACCAGGTTTTCCGGCCCCTTGGTGGAAAATTTTAGCAGATTGTAGTTAAGGCATCCACAAATGTTCTTCTCTACTTATTATAAACTTGGATGAAACCATCCATTGCTGGGGAATTTTTAGCATTTCTTTATCTTCATTGATAAAATCACTTGCCTGTTTTTAAGGGACCCACATATCTTCTGACCACCTTCTTTCTCATAATGTTATAAAAGATGTTTGTGTTGATTGCAATATCCTTTGCAAATTTCTTTTTAATTTGTTTTTTCTCACTTTTACCATATTTTGTCAGTGTTTCTTGCTCTTTGTATCTTTTACCAATCATCAGGATCTGTGCTATTTTTGCATCTGTATGCTGTTTTGAGTTTTATGTTGTCTCTTTCCTTTTTTGTCTTTATTTGTAAATACCACTCTTGTCTTTTTAGAGGTTGAAACTGATGCTATGTCACAAATTTTTTTGAACACCTACTGATCCTTTTTTGTTATACCCATCAACGCTATTGCCCAATTAAGAACGTAGGAACAGGAGTAGACCATTGAGCCATCGAGCCAGCTTTGTCATTTTAGATCATACCTGATCAATTACCTCCATGCCAATTTCCTACACCGTTTCTATATCCCTTAATGTCATTAATGTCCAGGAGCGTATTGATTTCTGTCTTGAACAAACTCAATGATTGTACTTCCACAGCCCTTTGGGGTAGAGAATTCCAAAAATTCTCTCCTCTGACTGAAGACTTTCATCTTCATATCAACTTTCCGTGATTAGTGAACAGGGAGATTCAGAACCTTTTGGACATGCAATCATGCAATCAACATGCAATCTACCACTTTGCAACTAAAACCATGGTGCATGCACATAATTCTTATTACAGTTCTTAATTCCTTCTCTGTAAGCAGGATTATCTGATTTTTTTCAATGGTGTGGGAGCTGTAATGGATGGGACATTGCCCAACACCACCACTGAGAAAGGCATTTCATCCAGCAAGGTACCAGCCATCTAAGTGGTCACCTGGTGGGCTTTTCACACATCACTTCCTGGGACAACAATCTTCCATCCTGCCTGAAGTTGCTAAGCAAGGGCAGGAAACTTGACATAAGGCAAAGCATCTTCCAGCAACCATTCCCTGCACCCCATTGATGCACCCAGTCACCCTATTGTGGTGTGAATTGAGGCCCTTCTTCCACCAATGTGGCAGGCAGCTGCCTCTTTTTACCTGTTTGGGAGGCTGTGACTGTTCTTGCTTCTCAGGAATAGGGCTAATTGTGGTGGTGGAGTGAAAATGTTTTTGTGTGATTTTTAATTGAATACTTAAGAGTCTTAATTGATGGTGGAATGGGTAGAATGCCGGAATGCCAGAAGCACCTTCTGACTCAGAGAAAGGGGCACTACCAGTGCACACAATAGATCTCCCCTCTTGTATGCTGTCTTATCATTGAATTGCTTTCATCCTTAATCTTTAAGGCCATTCCTCCACCTTTCATATTTTCACTATCTTTCCTGTTGACCTTTTAACCTGGTGTAGTTAGTTTCCAGCCTTAATCATCCTGCAGCCATGTCTATATATTAGTTACTGTGTTAAATTTTCCAAGTTTTAATTTGTGCTTACAATTCATTGAGTTCAGTCTTTATACTTTTTGTTTGTATAAGTAATGTTTATTCGGGTCACAATGTAATGCTGTATTTCTGCTGTAATGTTTTGTTCCCACATTTCCTATTTTCCGTCAAGGTTCATTTAGTTTACGCCTTTTACATTATTCATAATCAAAATAAACTTGAAGCTCGATTTCTGACTGAGCTATTTTCTTCTCTTTTATTTGTTCTTGAACTATTATGTAGGCTATCTTTTGCACCTGAGCCATAAGTGTGCACACCTCTTCCAACTTAGTTGTTTAAGGTCCTTATGACTGTTCTATTTATTCATTCCAGTGGGTACCGGGTTCCAGCCCGATTCAGCTACAATATGTCCATGGGTACGGTTCCTTCCAGTCCGAGCATTGATGCTAATACCCCAAAAGCTGAAGTCATCTTTCCCACACTACTCTTCAGCCATGTGTCATCTTCCTGTTTGGGATAATCAATGTTAATTTGCATATGGCTTGAGCAGTAACCCAATAATTGTTATCTAGTAATCTCCAAACAGGTCTTCTTGTTGACCTTTATTCCTCATGTTGTGTCACATGGACCACAATGAAATCACCCCTGTAATCAATTTTATGGTTCTTTCTCAATCTCATCTGGGTGCCTCTTAGTCTGAATACTATCGGTCACAACTGT